GTATAGACAAGGAAACACGCTCCACTAGGCGACCCATAAAAGGTCGAAATTACATTGCTGAAGAATGTAGTTAATGAGCAAAGATCCAGTAGACAAGAAATAGATAAGAGGAAGAGCTAAGCTGGTTTAATAAAGAAAAAACATAGGAGCCTTTGGCCTATAGGTGAGATGCAGCCCAGAGAAGCCTTTAGTGTGGCTTGCAGTAGGTGAAAAAATACATCTAATTGACCTTTCCTCCTCTCAAATGCTTTTCTTTCTTTGCTAGTTGTGCAGCCCTTTGAATGCAAGCTCCAAAAGCTGCTTCAAGGCACAGGGACCATGAAAATAGCATCTGCCTGCAACATCTCAAAGCAACCCACACAGCCCATCTTGCTTGCTCAGTGAAAGAGAATCATCTCTGCAGGCCAGCAACAATACTCAGGGGTTGTGTATGAATGGAAGACTGTAGATGGAAGGAAAGTATGGGAATTGTGGTGCTGGAGGAATGGTTGTGAATATGTTTGGATGGTGAAGGAGAGAGAAGGATCAAGGCAAGGCAACCCAGTATTTCAGACTGGGTTGCTCCATCTCTTCGCATTAGGTGGCAGCTCCTAGTTGACCTTTGCTGGTCTTGAAGGAGACGTTGAACCTGGTTAGGTCTGGGATGGAGACTGCCAGGAAATCCCAGATTACTGACTAAGCAGGGAAAAATTCCAGAAGGTGGCAGTGGCCAAGCACTTAGCTATTACTTTCAAGGAGAGCCCAGGAAGGTATCCATGAAGTCACCAGAGCTCATCTGGAAGGAAACTACAGTGTCCTCCTTCCTTCCTTGGCATATTAAGTATAGAACCACAGTTGGGCAGCTGAAAGAGATGCTATAGGAAAAAGGCACAAGACTACAAGGATGTGTCCATATAGTCATCAGAATCAAGTTCAGTTTGAAGATGCTTTTATTGTTCTTCCTTTCTGAGGAAGGAAGAAGTAGGTCTTTAGGCAAACCTGTCTGCAAGAGAAAGAGAGGAGGGGCAGAGAGAGAGAGGGAGAGAGAAATTAAATAGACAAAAGTTGATGCCAGGGAGTAAAAGGAAAGAGGAACCTCTGAATGGGATTTTTCTCAAGACACCAACCATGTGAGACCATGCGCTATTTCCTTGAGATTACAGAACATATTATCTTAGAATGTGACTTAATATAGTTTATTAAACATTTTTAGGAAAAGCAGGAAGGAAAGAAGGAAGGGAGGGAGGGAGGGAAGGACGGAGGGAGGGAGGAAAAATAAAGGACAAAATGGACAAAGAGGAATTTATAAGCATCACAGAATTAAGTTAAAAATTTCAGTATTTCATTGATTAGTTTTTAGTTACTGAATATACTAAATATAACTATATATCATATTGCTTTTAAAACCACCAATCATTGTTAAATAGGCAGCACAGTATAAATCTTAAAATGAGATAAAGAATTACACAGTATAAATCACAAAATGAGATTAAGATTTCTGTTTGAGCAATTAAAGACTTTATGTTAAGAGAAACCCAAATTTTGGTTGTGGCACAAGCCCATATATAGAATGATAAAAAATTGGTTTCCAAGTTGAAATAAATTCTGTGCCAAATATACTTTTCAAATATGAAGTTATTTTTGATATCAAGGCATGCTTCTACAACTTAATTAGCCTATCTTCTGCAAAAGGAACTGTATGTACTTTCCAATAGGAAGTGTGAAATAACTTTGCAGCAAGTACCGTGTACAAAGTTAGTTCAGTAGGCTCTGTCGGATATAAACTTTAGTAATATTTAATTTAAAAGCAGCAGGTTGGAATGGAAATTCAGCTTTTAGAATATGTTTCATTCTATTATTTGTTATCCAAAATAGTTGAGTTTATAACATTGCCACCAAATACAGAAAAGTGAATCGACCTGATCATTGTATTTTCATTTTTTTTTTAAATGAACCATTGAAACAATATGCCAATGGTAAAACATTTAAAAATAATGTTCTTTAACTATGATATTGTGTGAATTTAATATTTTTCTTCCACTGAAATTGCCATTGTTGCATATCAATAATTGTATTTA